GGAAAAAGTTCAATTTTTCCCGAGTTTTACATTCTTCCCCCCTTAAAAAAATTTCGTCCCCGAAATTCACACATACATACACTTTCAACACATGCATATGTAACAGCCATGCAATACTACAAGACTATAATAATGTACCTCCATCCTTGAATAGGAAAGGATAACTGGTACGTATGGTATCCTCACACTCCTATGTTGCCTCTTCCACTCCCTGGCGTTGCCACAACACCTTCACTAGCCTCACAGTCTTGGCTCGCAAAATCTAGTCCCGACTATCCATGATGCGCACCGGTCCCTCCTCAAAGGTCCCATCAACATCAACCACAAGCTCTCCCCAATCCACCATATGAGTCAGATTCGAGGAGTATTTCTGGAGCATAGAGACATGGAATACCGCGTGAACACTCGATAGATTTGGCGATAACGCCAACCGATATGCAATTATACCCACCCTCTCAATTACCCTTAAGGGCCCGATGTACCTTGGTGACAACTTTTCCTGCTTGCCAAACTTGACAACTCCTCTCTTAGGCATCACCTTTAAGAAGACATGATCTCCTACCTCAAACTCTAGAGGTCACCGCCGTTTGTCAGCATACATCTTCTGCCAGCTCTGAGTTATGAGAAGACGCTTCCATATAAGGTCCACCTTCTCCAAGGTGTCTCTAATCAAATTCGAACCCGTAGAAGATCTTTCTCTTACCTCCGTCCAACAAACCGGAGAACGACAAGGCCTCCCATATAATACCTCATAGGGTGCCATCTGTATGCTTACATGATAAATGTTGTTATAGGCAAACTCTAACAAGGGAAAGTGATATTCCCAGCTATCCTTGAGATCTAGGACGCATGCCCGTAGCATGTCCTCTAATGTCTGGATAGACCTCTCCGACTGACTGTCCATCTAGGAATGAAAAGCAGTGCTCGTCATCAACTGTGTCCCCATGGCTCATTGAAAGCTCTACTAAACGTGAGCGGTAAACCTGGGATCCCGATCCGATACTATAGATACGGGCACCCCATGCAACCGGACAATCTCCCGTTTATACAACCTACAGAATTCCTCCAATGTGAAGTTCATCCGTACCACCAAAAAGTGTGTCGACTTCGTAAGCCAGTCCATAATCACCCACACTGCGTCATGTCCCTGCGATGTCCGTGGCAAGAGAGTCACAAAATCTATCGTGATATGCTCCCACTTCCACTCAACTACCTTTAAGGGTTGGAGTAATCCTGCTGGTCTCTAGTGTTCAGCCTTAACCTGCTGACATGTGAGACATCGGCTGACAAAGTCTCCAATGTCCCTCTTTATCCCGCTCCAATAATATTGGCGACGAACATCATGGTACATCTTCGTGCCACCTGGATGCACAGCAAATCGGGAACAATAGAACTCTCTAAGAATTTCCTCTCAGAGTTTCGCCGAATGGGGAACCACAATCCTTCCCCTAAACTGAAGACTACCATCCGAGTGAATGGCCCAGCCCTCGTCACCTGTACCTAAACGTAATCGGTTCCTAATAGATGATAACTCTGTATCTTGTCCTTGGGACTCAATCACTCTGCTCAGTGGCGAAGGTGTAGCCACTAAACTTTCCAAAGTACCCTAAGTCTGATCTCCATAGTGTAGCCTGAACTGTCCCACAGTCTCGAGCATCTACCACTCCCGAGAAGCCACACTAGCCAAGATCTCCCATGACTTCTGGCTGAGTACATCAGCCACCACATTGGCCTTACTGGGATGGTAATGCAAAGTGAAGTCGTAGTCCTCAAGAAACTCCATCCACCTGTGTTTCCTCATGTTAAGGTCCTGCTGTGTAAAAATATACTTTAGACTCTTGTGGTCCGAAAATACCTCAAATTGCTCACCATATAGATAGTGGCGCCATGCCTTCAAGGCAAAAACAATGGCCATTAACTCCATGTCATGTGTGGGATAATTATGCTCATGGTTCTTTAACTGCCGAGAACCATAAGTTACCACCCTCCCGGACTGTATCAAAATACAATCCAGTCCGTCCTTTGAGGCATCACAGTACACCGTGTACCTCTATCCCCTTTCCGGGACTATCAAAATAGGAGCAAAAGTAAGTCTCTGCTTCAACTCCTGGAATGCCTTCTCACAAGTATCATTCCACTCAAACTTGACCTTTTTTCGGGTCAAATTGGCCATAGGAGTAGCTAGTCGAGAGAAATCCTCAATGAACCTCCTGTAGTACCCTACCAATCCCAAGAAACTACATATCTCGAAGACTGACTTTGGTCTCTCCCAATTCATGACTGCCTCCACCTTCTTGGAGTCCTTCACCCAATCCCACCATGATTGGGATTCTCCTTCCAGCTGAAATGTTGCTAGGGTTATTTTGGTGGCGTCGGAGGTGATCTGCATAGCCCTCAAGACATTATCGACTTGTCGGAACCAATGGTCAGCTACCATAGGATCTACCCTTCCCTTGAAGATCGAAGGTTGATGTGCCTTGAACTTCTGGAGGTTGCTTGAGCATCCTTGTCCTCCACTTGCACCGAGCTGTGCAATGGTGGCAGTTGTACCACTAGTCTGTGCAATGGTAGCAGCCGCCGTACCAATAGCCTCCACTAAGGCTTGTAGGTCAAAAGTTGGTGGTGATTGGTTATTGTTCAGTCCACTCTGACGTCCCCTTCCTCTAGTTGCCATCTACACACATGTCAAATGACAATAGAACATTTACATAACATACTAAGGTAGGGATCAAACTTGAAACATTGAGATTTATCTCCTTGTTTCCCTAGTAGAGTCTATGCCATGGACTTATAAACATTTATACGTTGAACTATCACGTTCATTTCTTTCCCGACCCCCAAGGTTATGTTTTCTAACCCTAGTGTCTCTTTCCATATAGATCTTACCATGTATATAATGCACATAATCACATAGCATATAATCATGTAAGAAAACGTAAGCACAAAAGATGAAATGTACAATGCATGAAATGGTCTAGACCCAATGCCTATCAAGCCCAAGGTAATCCGTATACCTATGCTTTGATACCAAGTTGTGACGCTCCATGGTCCGGGGTTCCTGTTGACCACCGTCAACCTACAAAAATATTCGTGAGTCCCGCATAATCCAACATCATGTAATAGTATCCCTTTACCTGGGATTTAAACTCACACGTGTAACCCGTGTTCCTTTAATCATTTAATCCAACTGAGGTTTAATACACCCCAATAGATCTCATTTAGGGTCCATTTGTATCCTTGGAACTAAGGAACCAAAGTCCAAAGGCATATCACTTTAGTTTTAAAATTTGAAAAATTCGAAAAAGTGTACCGGTACGCTATATCTTCTGGACCATACGGTACCGGTACACAATACCGGTGCACTCTGCCTAATGTTGTTCGTTTCACCTGTTTTGCATGTCCAATCCATTCCAAACCACCCCAACCTCATTTCAAACATATATAATGATATTTATCACATAGAACTTGACATCTACAAGTTCTATTACAAACCATTTACACGATTACATATCAAAATGGAATATAAACCAAAGTTTTACACAAAACTTGTTTTCAAAAGCCACAAACCAGATTTTCTTCACCTTCGAGGCCCTGAATGAGTATCATCCACTGTAATATGCCCTGCACCTAAAATGTGTTCCCGTATAGGGTGAGCCACGCCTAGTAGTGTATTTTCTATAGAGGCTACTCCCCACCTAAGTGTATATGCAACAGTCTCATGCAACAATCGCAAACATAATTCCATTTCATCCAAGAACATGCTATTCAAGATGAAATTCCTCTGTGCCATGTCATGATATGAGATAAGACTAACTCATGCATTCCTTTTGCCCAAGACTACTCCGGCTTCCACAACACTATGCAATGCATGTTTGTAAAACATTTATCTTTGATGAAATACATCCAAAGATCATTTTGAAACAAAACTCATGTGTTCATAAAAATCAATTCATTTCTGGATGTTTCCAATCAAATGAATCATTTATATTACCAAAACCATGTGTCTTTATTTGGGTAATGGACTTTTGGTGTTGCACTACTGGCTCTACACACCGATACACTTTTTTTTGGACTTGCACTGTCGAAAATGTATAAACCAATAGCTGGGCTTTGCACCCGAGGGGGATCTATCCCTTCTTGCTATACCCGACACAAGTTTTTTCACGTATGTAACCGTGTGACTCAGTAGGATATTCAACCCCACTTTTTCGACCCCACTCATCAAACACCAAGTGTGATGATTGATCCAACCATGCACTCACACACCAGTACTCATGGTCATAGATGTGTATTTCCCGTGCAAATGCAATGTAGTGCACCATTGCAATGTCTGTGTTGTACTCATATTCAATGTATACCAAATGAACCATATAACCAAATATCCACATACAACATGGGAATTAATATCAATTGCATATGATTACCAAAAATCAACATATTGCCAAATATTAATAACATATACCATCAATCAACAATTCACAAGCTTGTTATACATAATCCATGCTATAACAACTTACTATGAGTTGCCGTTTCTTTATCAGGTTTTCACTATTTAATTTCACATATACAACTTTAACAAACAACAAAATAGGATTTCTAATTTTATAACCCTTACAAAATGAGTAAATGGTTGTTGAATTTTAGGTGAAGTAGATCATATACAAAAACTAATTTTAACTCGACACTAGGGATTGACACAACTTTTTACTTGCACCAATAAAACCAGTGATTCCTCTTACTTTTTCTGCTTCAATCTGGTGTCACCTGAGAGCATATATCACTCTTCTAAATTATAATTATTGGAATTTGGAACGATCCTTTTTCCTCTTAGATGTCATATGAGAAAACCAATAGCATTACAAGAGTGCATTTGTTATAAGACCCGACTATGCCAACTCCCTTTTGCTAATGAACATTTTTCTTCCCTAAAAATTCATCATGCTTTCTGCAGGGGAATCTTCACTCACTGCTTCCCTAATATCCTCCCTTTACCACATCATGGGGGTTTATAGGAGATCCAGAGGCTCGCTCAGCAAGGCTGCTATACCATACCTTAATTAACTCTACCCCAAGGGTGCTTGTTGTTTGGAAGAATGGACCATATACACCCACAAATATTATATTATTTGTGCTGTTCTCATGTTTTGTATCACAATGTAATGGTTGTTAGACAGAGTATTGTACTACTTTATCAGGCAATAAACCCTAAAATAAAAGAATGAAAAGAAAACTACTGTGGCGCCTGTGATTCATATAAGTTTCACCAAAGCTTCAATAGCATTCGTCACATATTTTCTAACTAACATATGGATGTTGACAGAATTCTTGTGATAACGTTGATAACAAAATCAAACCAAATCCAAACAGGTATATGTCACTGTTCATAAAATTTGTGAATTCATCTCACCTGACAAGCCAGAAACCCTTTGTAATTAAGCAAGCAGTGAGAGAAAGAACACAAGCCGGGTCACGAAACCTGGCGGCGCGAAGGTCAGCGACGGTGGCTGACCGGAGAGCGTCGTCGTTGGAGAAGGTGTCGAGGAAGAGGTCATAGAGCAAAGTTGAAAGAAGGGTTGAAGAACACAGCTTGTTCCCAAGGTGGAAGGATAGAGACCTCTCGAGAGAAGAGTGAGAGAGGATAGTGGAGTAGAGATAGCTGGCGAGAGCTGGTTCGGATTCGGCGTCACGCCGAGCCTCGTCTTTGATCCGGGTCCACAGCCACGACTCTTCTTCGGCGGAATCCGGAGGTGGTGGGATTGGGCTGACGAATTCACCGGCAGGCATCGGAGACGTCGTCGTTGTGAATGGCGCGTGGGGAGAAGTGTTAATGGGCCTCTTCTACGAGGATGTGAGAGAGACGAGGGCGACACTGAAAATGGTTGTTTTTACCAAGTCCAGCTTTGTGAGGAATTATGAAAGGGTTATGTTATAGTGTGTCATCATTCTTTGTTGATGAATATATTGTCGATGATTGTCTAGATAGGGATGAGATTGATTGTCGTGACAAGAGGTTCAGATGTCGTCATGCCGGCTTCCGAAGTTGGGCCCAGATGATATGCCATGGAATCAGTGTTAATAGTCGTTTTTTTACCATCATCCCACCCTTAATTCAAATTTAAACTTAAATTAGAGTAAAATATTTAAAAAGCTTAATTCAACTTTTGACTCAAATTTATATTAAATTAAATTTTTATTCAAATTTTTAATGATGAAATTTCACTATTTTTTAAGGATTTAATGTTCATATTTACTCTATTTTAAATTTAGATTTACTCCAGTTTAATTTGAATTTGTCCATTAGAATCATTTGTATCAAATTAAGATTTTGCTCACATATTAATTTAATTTGAGTAAAATTGAAGATGTTTTAAAACTATCTCAATGAAAACTCAATTTTTTACTTAATTTAAATGTAAAAAAGGGTAAAATAATTTAATTTGGTATAAATCTCTCCAATAACAAAACTCAAATTTAAAGAAGAAAAATTCAAATTTAGATGAAGATAAATTCAAATTTAAAAAAAAAATTATGATCATTGAATTTTTAAAAGATAGTAGATGCAATTTTACTATTAAAAATTTGAGTTTAAAAAAAAAGATCTCTTTTTATTGGAATTTAAAAATCAATTTTTTTTTATGAGTATAAGTTTAATATTTAAAGAAGTATTTAAAATTATTTTATCTAAATTTAAATTTAAATAAAACAAATAGGTAAGAATTAGGGATGATCTTAAAGAGTAAAAATGATTTGAATTTTTGACCAAGTCGAGTCGTGGTAGGAAATTACGAAAGGGTTATGTTACAGTGTGTCGTCCTTCTCTGTTGATGAATTTATAGCCGATGGCTATCTAGATAGGGACGAGATTGATT